GGTGAACTCCAGGGTCAGAGCACTGGGAAAAAAAAACACCTGCTTATTCATCTTAGTTATGGTAACCTCAAGGTTCAGTGTTGCAAACTGAGAACTCCCCACCAGCCAGTCCTCTGGTGCCACCTTCAGTGAAGGGCTGGGCTGTGGTGGAGGAAAAGTGTGGAGTATGATCCTCTTCCTCCTGCCCTAGCAGCAGGGATGCTGGAGCCAGCCCATGGGATGGTCCCATCAGGGATGGAAGTGCAGGTAATATCATTTCCCTTGCCCTCAGCTGCCTCCCGTCCCTAGAGGCTCCACTCAAGCTCCCAGATTTCTCCTCAGCTGCACCAAAACCAGTGGAATAAACTCCCAGCTCAGCACCTTTATCCCCCTTTTCCTTTGACAAAGACTAAGTGTAGACAGTAGCTCTTCCTTCAGCAATTCTTGATGCTTGCATGTGCTATGTACACTAAAAAGCACCTGTGATTATCTAAAAAAGAAAATGTGTTACAAGCAGCTACTTCTCCCCATGGAGGAACAAGACAATGGCCTCCACAAGGACAAAGAGGAGCTGTTTGAGTTTGGCAACTGCTAGAACATACTGGTCCCCATGATGACCTCAGCACATTATTTTTGGTGCTGAATTTATAGAGAACCTTAAGGCATTTCCCAGCCAATATCCAATGTGCTGGAAAGCTGTTAAAGAGGAGAAAGCCAAGTGGCAAAGGAAAAACTTGGCAAATTCTTGGGATCATAGAATCATAGAATCTTAGGGGCTGGAAGGGACCTCGAGAGATCATCTAGTTCAACCCCCCTGCCAGAGCAGGGTCACCTAGAGTACATCACACAGGAACTCATCCAGGTGGGTTTTGAATGTCTCCAGTGAAGGAGACTCCACAACCTCCCTGGGCAGTCTGTTCCAGTGCTCTATCACTCTTACAGTAAAAAAATTTTTTCGGATATTCACCTTGAACCTCCTATGCTCCAATTTACACCCATTACCCCTTGTCCTATCACTGGTCATCACTGAGAAAAGCCTAACTCCGTCCCCCTGACACTCACCCCTTACATATTTGTAAACATTGATGAGGTCACCCCTCAGTCTCCTTTTCTCCAAGCTAAAGAGACCCAGCTCCCTCAGCCTTTCCTCATAAGGGAGATGTTCCACTCCCCTAATCATCTTCGTAGCTCTGCGCTGGACTCTTTCGAGCAGTTCCCTGTCCTTTTTGAACTGAGGGGCCCAGAACTGGACACAATACTCCAGATGTGGCCTCACCAATGCAGAATAGAGGGGGAGGAGAACCTCTCTTGACCTACTAACCACACCCTTTCTAATGCACCCCAGGATGCCATTGGCCTTCTTGGCCACAAGGGCACATTGCTGGCTCATGGTCATCCTCCTGTCTACCAGGACCCCCAGGTCTCTTTCACCTACACTACTCTCCAGCAGTTCAGCCCCCAACCTGTACTGGGACATGGTGTTGTTCTTCCCCAAATGTAAAACTCTGCACTTCCCCTTGTTGAATTTCATCATGTTTCTCCCCGCCCAACTCTCCAACCTATCTAAGTCTCTCTGAATGGCAGCACAGCCTTCTGGTGTGTCAGCCACTCCTCCCAGCTTAGTGTCATCAGCAAACTTGCTGAGGGTACATTCTATACCCTCATCCAGGTCGTTGATGAAGATGTTGAACAACACCGGTCCCAGTACCGACCCCTGTGGGACTCCACTAGTCACACACCTCCAACCAGATTCTGCCCCATTGACTACAACTCTCTGACTCCTTCCTTTCAACCAGTTCCTAATCCACCTCACTTCCTGATCACCAAACCCATACCTGATCAACTTTTCTACAAGGATGCTGTGGGAGACGGTGTCAAATGCTTTACTGAAATCAAGATAAACCACATCTACCGCTCTACCATCATCTATCCACCTAGTAATTTCCTCATAGAAGGCTATGAGGTTAGTCAAACATGATTTACCCTTGATAAAACCATGTTGACTGCTCTTGATGACCCCCATGTCCTTGATGTGCCTGGAGATAGTGACAAGAACAAGTTGTTCCATCACCTTTCCAGGGATGGAGGTGAGGCTGACCGGTCTATAGTTACCCGGGTCCTCCTTCTTGCCCTTCTTGTAGACTGGAGTGACATTTGCTATCCTCCAGTCCTCAGGCACCTCACCTGTTGCCCATGACTTACTGAAGATGATGGAGAGTGGCCTAGCAATGACCTCCGCCAGCTCCCTCAGCACCCTTGGGTGCATTCCATCTGGACCCATTGATTTATGGATGTCCAGATTACTCAACTGATCCCTAACCCAATCCTCATCTACCATGTCAAACTCTTCCTCTATCTTGACTTCTTCTGGGGCTATATGAATCTGGGGCTCATAGGGAGACCCTGCAGGAGTGAAGACAGAGGCAAAGAAGGCATTCAGCACCTCTGCCTTCTTTATATCCTCTGTCACCAGGGCTCCCACCTCATTCCTCAATGGGCCAATATTGCCTCTATTGCTAGTTTTGCTAGCTATGTATTTGAAAAAGCCCTTTCTATTATCCTTAACCTGACTTGCAAGGTTAAGTTCCAAGGAGGCCTTAGCTTTCCTAATTGCCTCCCTACATCCTCTGACAACAGTCCTATATTCCTCCCACGTGACCAGCCCCTCCTTCCATGATCTGTAGATTTTCCTTTTCCACTTAAGTTTGCCCAGTAGTTCCTTCTTTAACCATGCAGGTCTCCTAGCACCCTTACTAGATTTCCTAACCATTGGGACGCTCTGATCCTGTGATGATGGAAGCAGCCCAGGTCACTGCACTGACTCTCCATAGAGTCACTGGTCCCCCAGGGACCTGGCAGTGCTCCACAGCACCCCAGGAGACAGGGCTGCAAAGGGGCAATCCCCCTTCCTCAAAAGCAGCATCTCTACCTCTTCAAGAAGGGCAACTGTGTGCCCCAAGGCTCTTTTTTTCCATTAATTAGTCGATTTAGTAACTGGTGTTACATCTGTCCATAATCCTGTCTACACTTCTAGACTGATGTTCATTTAAGCTGCTCTTCAAAACCTGCAGAGAAGGTTCTCCCACACAATCACTTCTAGCAATTCAGTGTCCTTATGTTAAGACAGTTTCCTGTTGCCCAGCCTCTCCTTTCCTTACTGCAGTTAAGCCCCTGGTTCCTGGTCCATTTCCCAACAGATTTAAGAACCTAATTAGTCCCTTCCTCTCTGTGCAATTAAAGACCTGATCATGTCTCCTCTTTAGGAGACAAAGAAAGGCAGGCTTTGCCAGCCTGCTGTCCAGTAAGCTAGAAAGGCATGGAAAAGATCTGAAAAGCCAGGTCTGATTTTCACTGCCAAATCCCATCTGTAAAGAGACCATGTTTTATTATGTATTCCCTATAATTTACACATTGTTTTGGTTCCTGCTTGGCTGCAGTCATTGTCATAAAGCCTCAGACAAAAAAAACCAAAGATGGCTCCAACACCATTACATGAGAAAAACGCAATAAATCAGGAGCTCTCTACAGCCAGACAGTTCCAAGGGGTAGGGTCTGAGCCAAGCCCTGATAACCCACATATACTGGATGCTAAATACCTCATTCCAGACACACAGCACTCTCAGAACATCCATCTCACCTCTTTCAAACACCTACCACAAAGTTCATCACCTACATTGCCTCTAGGGCTGCTGGTGAGACAGGATGTTGCAGGTTGTGGCTCCTCTTGCCACAGCTAGAGTGAGGTAGAGACCTGAAACAGGTCAGAGCAGGAGAGTTTTAGAAGTGCCTGGTCCTCTCTTGGGTGAGAAGGAGCCTGAAGATGAGCTCTCTTGCAGGCTGGCTCAAGAAATGTAAAGCAGCAGGTGAGATGAATCTCATGTACAGGGAGGACAGGCTCTTACAACAGGACAGTGAACAGGAAGGATTCAGCCTTTACTGCTGCACCTTTTTGTCCAAAACCTTCAGTTGTGGAACTCTGGTGAGATGGATCACCAGTGGGATCTGGTTTCTCTAACTGCAATGTAACTTTTCATTAAACTACAGGCAGCACCAGGATCACCAGCAATAACCATTTAAAAATACCAACTAGGATGTGCATTTCCAAAATGACACACTCAAAGTCACCTTCTCAGAGCTACATCAGTTGTTTGATTTGAGCGTTTAAAATGCATTTACATTTTCCAGTTCTTATCCCCAAATCTGGGAACTGACATTTTTTTTCCCATTTTAAATGGCAGCATTGCTGCCATCTCATCTAATCATAGTACTCCGGGAGCCGGGGCTTGAAGAACACCAGAGGTCCTGAGAGTTGGTAATATGGAACATTGGTGCAGGGATGTTTTCTCATAAATCCAAAACAAAAATAATTAAAAAACTAAAATGCTTTTCAGTTGAGAAACCAGGGACTCAGTGCAACACCTACAATCCCAGGAGAGCAAAGCCTTGCATGGACCTAGAGGTTACCATGACCAGGGAAGGCAGTTCCAAGTCAGTCCCCCAGCTTCCCAGGATACAAACACATGGGACAGAAGGATCACAAGGAGGAGACAGAAAAGAAAAATAGTCCCATCAGCTCCTAGAAGCCTTTACAAACCTCATCCATCCACTCTTTGAGGTCTCAAGGGAACAAACCATTCCCATGTCTTACCTCTTCACACAGCTCCAGAACACAGGTCAGCCTTTCTCTGCCAAGACCAAACTGGAGGCAAACAGCTCCTGGGGAGAAAACAACTCCAGTGATTTGTAAGGACTGGAATTTTCCCTGTCCCAGAAGCAGAGGCTCTCTGAAGGCTTTGGCTCCATCTGGGGAGGATGGTATTTATCCTGCTTGAATGAACTAATTTACCCAGAACCCTGCAGTTTTGCACTTGCCTTTGCTAATGCTGTTGGGGAACTCACATATTTCAAAGTCATTCCTGCAAAAAATTAGGAAAACCCAAACCACATCGCCAGCAGGAACATAGTAATTTTTTGATGACAGTCAGATTATCACCACTAATACTCTTATTCTTTCATTTCAGGTACTATAGCCTCCACAAACTCCTCTGTCCACGCTGTAACAGGTACCTCCTGGGTTGGAATCATGCTTTCTGTGTCTATTTGGATGTGGATGCACATGCCCATGCAGGGATGCAAATGGAGGGTCATATCATGCCATGGAATCATAGAATGGTTTGGGTTGGAAAGGACCTTCAAGATCATCCAGTCCCAACCCCCCTTGCACAGGCAGGGACACCTTCCATCAGACCAGGTTGCTCCAAGCTCCATTCAACCTGCCCTTCAACACTTTCAAGGGGGGACCAGCCACAGCTTCTCTGGGCAACCTGTTCCAGGGTCTCACCACCCTCACACTAAAGAATTTCCTCCTGTCTCATCTAAAACTCTCATCAGCTGAAACACCTTCTCCATCTATCATCAATCATCCCCAGATCTCCAGGGATGGTGCCCCAGGAGATGACCATGCCTGGCTCTTTTTGTCTGGAAGAGCCATGTGGTGGCCAGGAAGCCTAGCAAAAACAGAGGGATCCTGCCTCATCTTTGCTCCATTTCCCCCAGCTGCTTCCTCGCTGTGAACATGCTCTTCTCCATGGATCCAAGAGCCAAGATGCCTTTGCCCAGAGATCCCTATAGCCACACCAGTGACAAACTCTCTCCTAAGCATATCTTGGCCCCATCACCTTTTCAGCTCATACTGGCCACAAAGGCCCCTTTCTAGCCCATCCTTCAAGCCTCCCTATAGGGATCCCACCAAGGAGCACATGTAAGAGATGTCACCTCCACGTCTCTCTGCTTGTATTCCAGGTCAATCCCAATCAACACCACACAGCCCTGAAGTGAAGAACCACACCTCAGGTAATAACATCTGGAGGGAGACATCCTCAGGGGCACCCTGGCTTGTAACAGGTCTGACTCCCAGTACAACCCAGCAATAAAGGGGGCAGGGTAGGTGGGAGCAGTGGTGGGGAAGCAGAAATTGTCTTGCAAGGGCTCCTGATCCACAGCTCAGCCCAGAGGAATGAAGGAACAGGCCTGAGCAAGAACAAGGAAAAATAACTAAATTGGACAGAGACTAAAAACTGCCAGTGCTTCACACACCCTCAGCACTTCCATACAACGGGTCAACACATTCCCTACTTCTCCCAGAGGAAAAAGGGAAGCTTGAAGAGGCATGTCCTAAGCTGTAAATGCTTGTGCCAGCACAGGGACTGAACATTGCCTCAGCTTCACTTCAGTTATTCGCGTTGGGGGTTTCACTTTGCTCTCCACCTCCCTGGAAACAAATCACTCATTAGGGCAGAAAAATATTTAAATGCTAGATGAACCTCTGAGGAATCCCTTTCCTGTTCTCCTCCTCTGCTGAAACCAGCTTCAGGACATTACAATGCACTCAGACAGGAGTCCTGGGAGGGGATGTCAGGAGGTGTCAGCAGAAAGTTACATATTTGGGTCTGAAAATACACAAAACTAAATTCACAAGAAGGGATCTCTACAACTCCAGATCCATATCCGTTAGTCCACTTGGATATTTGGAGACAGATCTCTTCCTGCTATGTTGAGGGGAACAAATAAAGTCTTTCTAAGCATAGCTACCCCTCCAAAGGGAACCCAAAAAGATAAGGAAATAGATGGTAAAAAGATCTCAGATTCTGCTTCCATGTGTTGTAGAAAAAAACTTATTCCTAAATTCTAATATTTTGGTGAAGCATTTGGATCAAAGGAAAAAAGCCAACAACCTTAAAACCATTTTCACTCTTCTCATTTTTACTGGAAAGCCAAGAAAAGCCTAGAGAAGGAACTGACCTATAAATTCTAAGCTGGTGAGCCACTCTTCCTTGCAGACAGTCTACTGAAAGCTTTTTATTTCCATGTCTTGCTCTGGATCATTTTCTTGCTATGCAGCTTAGAGGAGCAGGTTAGAGCAGATGACAGAGCCTCAAGCCCACTGCAAAAACTGAAGTACCTGTGTTAGAGACTCCCAGTGAAACAGCAGTCAGCCTTTCAGATAACAAGCAAACACACACAGGGGTGCCAGGCAGCTCTAGCCAGTTAAAATGTCCAGTGATAAAGATATGTTCATTTTCAAAGTGGGGAAAAAAGAGGTGGCAAAAAGCAGACTTGCTCCCCATTTGCTAAGCTCTGTCAGCTCAGCATCTTTGTACACTAAAAAAAGCAAAACTCAATGCCAAAGTATAAGAGCTCCCTGACTGTGAGCAGGACAAGTTTCCTTGTCCATTCATGCCCATGCTTTCCTCAGTAGATTTTCCATAACTGCCAAGGAGTGTGAGGACTCTTTGCAGTAGCCGTGCCTCCTCCAAGCTGTTTCTGGGCAGAGCTCTTTGAAGTAATCCTGTGCTTCCTCTGCAGAGCCTTCAGTAAAATCAACACCACCAGCTGACTTGAATTTCACCTCTGAGACTCAAACTACCATAGCCACATTCTCTTCCATGGCCACAACACTGCCAGCATCCACTGTACAAGGTAAGTGCGGAAAACCCATGTGTTTGCTCAGGCAGGACCTGTTCATGCATCCCTCCTCATCCAAGCAAAACTGGGGGCATCAGGAAGACTGGACTAGTCCACACCATGCTACTTATTCAGTAGCAGCAACTTTTGAATGAGTCTGCTGCAAGAGTAGCTCCTTCCAGCTCCCCATAAGCACTGGGTTGGACACAACCAAGACCTACACATGACAGCTGCACAGCCCCTAGCAGAAAAAAATTACCATGCTTTACCACGTGATGTTGTGTGGAGGAGCTATAGGCACCCCAGCTGACCTCTCCAAGCTAATCTCTCATGTGCCCTCTCCAAACTGACTGCACAGCTTCCTAGCTGGACCTCTTGACCTTTGTTTGGAGGGGAAGTCTCATGGAAACAAAGTTTTTTATGCAATAGAGACACCATATCTCTCTTTAGCACAACTAGAAGAAGCTTCAAGACTTAATTCTCCTTTCCCATCTTTTGTTATGCAGATGAAAAGTCTAGTGGAAGCAGAAGCACAGCAGCTTCACCATCTCAAGGTACTTTGTCCTTTTGTAAAGTAACAAAAGGATTGGATCATTTCATGACAGTTCATTTACTTGTTTCACATCGTGCAGGTTACCCAAGCATTATTCTTTACCTTGGGGTTGAACCACCAGTAACCCAAAATCATGTCTGTTACCCTTACAAGTGGTGATAAAACACAAGACTGAATGCACTTAACATCCTCTGCCTGGCATGAACTTCAACAGTTTAAAGACTGGTTGATGTTCAGGAAACAGAAGCTCTTTGAACATTCTTTAAAAAATAAAATCTGCTTTTGACAGTTTGCTTAACCCAGCCTGTGAGCAAAAAATTGGAAATTCAGTACAAGTATTCTGAGAATAAGGGCAGAATCCAAAAGAATGTGAAGACTGAAATCTGACAATTGAGCTGATTCCCCATTGAAGATTCACCCTCTCATACCTGCAATGGTCAAGACAGAGACTGCTCTGCCTCTCCAAGCACCTTTCAAGATCTTCTCTAACACAAGCAAGGTTAAAAACCCATGGTCAGCCCAGCCTGCACAGATGTCCAACCAGCATGTCTGTGCCCAGCCAAGCCAAGAGCCCTCTGCAGCAGAGCAGATTGCTATTAATTATAACCCTGCATTAGATCTGAAAAGCTCCATACTTCTTTGACTGTAGCAACATTGCTGATGCTTCCAAAAGTGAAGTCTCCTGCTGTGTGAAACCAAACATTTCCCAGGGACAAGGTGCCCATGCAAGGCTCAGCAAACCACAGCTCCTGCCCACCGCCTGTGGCAAGAACAATTTCAGAATGAAACAAAGGGTTTGATGAGTGGTGAAAAAATCACCCAGTACTAGTCCCTGCTTCTCAGACCTGTTCTGCTCCTTGTGGTTTCTGAATCAGTTACATTTGTTATTTCATACCTCTTCCCCTCTTCATCCCATTTCCCCTTTTCCTTTTGACTTTTGGCAAAATGCATGTTCTGCAGCAGGGATGTTTTCTGCAAGGCAAGAGCCCCAGTTTCAGCTGCACACTCTGCACAAGTGCCAGGAGCTGTTTCACACTTCTCCAGGCAGCACATACTTTTGGCCAATGCTGCTTTGTGAAGGTGGAGATGTAAAAGGAGGAAAGATTATCCTATTTGACCTACAGATGATCTTCTGAAGTTCTAAAGCATCATTTTTGTCTCCTGACAGGATCTGTATCTCTTCACTAAGGTCAATGCAGGTTATCTGGCCTCCAACACACATCCAGGGGGCAGCAAAGGGGTTTTTTCTCCTCTGCAAAAGTGAAACACACAGGCCAGCTTTAAATTTGCTTGCACAGGGATTTTAAGCAGCTGTCACAAAGCAAACAGCTTCATGTGAGCCAGTTCATCCCACTGAGAACTGAGTCCTTGCTCAAACCAACCTGTGCTGCCACAGCTAGACTACATATGGTGTACAAGTAGCCTAACTCAAACAAGCTTAATTACTTCTAGATGACCCAAGACAGCACACCCACTAATTCCAACCTCAAGGACAAGCTGGACAGTCAGTCCTCAACCATATTCTGCAGAATTTCTTCCCCAACCAGCCTTTTTTTTTTTTTTTAAAGCCTCAACATCCCCCATCCCTGGCAGTGTTATAACCTTCCCAGTTCACTCTTCCAGTACTCAACAACTGTATCTGCCCCAAAAAATTGCCCAGAGAAGCTGTGGCTGCCCCATCCCTGGCAGTGTTGAAGGGCAGGTTGGATGGGGCTTGGAGCAGCCTGGGCTGGTGGGAGGTGTCCCTGCCCATGCAGGGGGATGGGACTGGATGATCTTGAAGGTGACTGCCAACCCAAAGCATTCTGTGAGTCTATGATTCCATGAAAACTGCATCTGAGGCTGCAGACCCTGAACAGTTACACAAGAGCATTTGAATGTTGGTTCCCTGAGTTTCTGTTTAGATGTGGAAAATGGCACAAAGTGTGTTTTGTGGGAAGGTTTTAGCTCAAGTACAAACTCCAGGTTTTCCCAAGTATCACCAGCACCACTGTGAATCCATTCTCTCCAGCCTGCCCATCAATTCTTTTGGGTATCAGCTGACACTCAAGGATGAGACTCACATTCTGCATTTCTATGTGCAGGTCAAGAGTCCACAAGAAGTGAGACTGCCAGCCCACAAACAACTCAAGGGGCTTTCTCCCTTCTGGCCCAGAGAGGTGAGTACCTCTAGATATTTTCTAGCCCTTTTCACAGGCAACAGCAAGGCCACCACATTGCTGTTTTCAGGGCAGCACAGTGAATGGCCAAAAAGTACCTAAGGGATACTGACCATACCATCTAGCCCTTGAAATGCTTGTGAAGCTCCACAGAAGCAGCACTTGGGGGCAACATCTTAAGCCTGAGAATAGCAGTTGTGAGACACAGCAGGGAAGGTGCCACTATGGCAAAAGGAAGAAAGACTTTCCTATAAAACTGTCTTTTCCCTCTCTTGTAGGCACCTCAGAGCTAGTCACCCCGAAACCAGAGACCTCTGGCTACTTGCCTGTGCCCACTCCCACAGATGACAAATCACCACTGACAGTGGCAGCTTTTGGTAAGGTCTTGTGCAATGTGGGGAGAGAAGGGGGGATTTGTTTTGCCAGGCCACACTGTTTTGGATACCCAGCTTCAAAGATGCCTCCCTTGAGATAGCTTCACAGTTTTCTTCTCTAGCATGCCCAATTCTGAATTTTCCAGAGTGCAAGGGAAAGCCCTCAAGAAAAAGACTTGTCACCAGCAGGCAATAAGGCACCTAATAAATACTCCCAATATACAAAGGACAGACAATTTGAAGGTCCACCTGAGCTTGGGATCTTGCTCGCAGCACCACTTCCACATTAGGACAAAACCTGGGCACATGGTCTCTCTGATAGTGCCTAGAATAAGTCTACTTGTAGACGATTGTTCTTCCCTGCAAACCTGTTGGAACTGCATTCCCACCCTGCCTTACTGCCTTCCCTTGTACAGCTGCACCCTGCTTAGCAGGAAGCAGCCAGGACCTCTGCACTCTTCAGGCTGTGGAAGGATGGAGCAAGAGATGCCAGACTTTAACCTGGCAACAGATTTGAAGACAAGCACAGGGCAGATTTCAGAGACCTGCTCCGCCTTGGCTCAGCCTGTTCCCCTCCCCCCATGAGGACTAGCAAGAAACCAAATTTGCTTATTTTTTACCAGAATATTGAAAAAAAAAGTTATTTCAGAAGCCTTTTTAAAAGTCAAGTGTTAATCTGATAATATAATTTGTGGATACACCCCAAGGAAAGCCACAAGAAGTCCTGAAACAGTCTTAACAAGATCCCTGTGCAAAGGCTAGTTTGATTTATCAAGGCCAGATGTCACAATCAAATCAGCACTTAGCCACTGGCTTATGAGACAGAAGATCATTCACAGCCTTTAGCCTGTCTCCATTATATTATGTATTTATCTGACTTCATACACCTTTAGGATCTACCAATTCTAGTAAGGATATATTGACTTCAATCAATCCCCAGAGTAATCAGCTGACTTCCACCCTCCTGGCACTGCCTTGTCAATTAACTAATCATCAGAGCCTTTTGAGGCTACAACACAAGAGCATAAAACCATTCACTCTAGTGACTGTTTCTCTGCCTATTACGTACCATGCTCATGTTAATGGAAATCCTGATTTCCTACCCAAGTTTTGATGACAGTCAAAGTCTCTCCACCACACAAGAAGCTGAGAACAGGCTTGTTGCTGTATCAATCACAGCCAGTTCTCTCCTCCATCCCCAGGTGTCATCAGCTTCATAGTTATCCTGATAGTGGTTGTCATCATTCTGGTCAGCGTGGTCAGCCTGAGGTTCAAGTGTAATCGCTCCAAGGACTCAGAAGGTATTTGCTTGGCACAATCTGTCTTTC